ATTATCGAGTTCCAACAAAATAAATAATTATTATCTTTATAAAAAAATTATATTATTGAACCAAATATAAATTATTTCGTTATTGTACATAAATTAAATTATAAAAAAATTGAATTAAAAAATTACACAAAAAATTATGAATTTCAAATATTTAATTTGATACTAATATCGATATATTTTTGTCAAAATGTTATGATATCTTCAAACATATATTTTATTTAAAAATAAAAACATCATCGTTTTCTCAAAAACATATAAAACCATATTATAATATCGACTGAGATAAAAAATAAAATATTAAAATCACGATATATTTCGTTGCATTGTGCGAGTGCAACGAGATTTAGAATCTTGGTTTTTTAATACTCCAATAATTATAGAAACAAAAAACTAGAAAAGCTATTCTTCTTTATTGTCCTACCACAAATGATTAATTTAATTGTCTTCATTGTACTTTTTTTTAATATAAGTTTATCTTAATTCAACAGATTAAAAATCTTCACAAAATCCACTGTAATAATCGACTGGTTCGTAAATGGACGAAGTATTGGAATCGTTGATTTTCGGAATTAATTTTTTCGAGAGAGAAGGGGTGGTGGGATGGGGGAAACCCAAGAAAACAGATGGGATATATATGTGGTGTTTGGGACAGAGATGGAAGGCGAGATGTGCGTTGGGAGAGGGACCAATTTAGACGTGAGAAATGATCATTTGAGTCAATTTTCTTAAAAGTAATTTATTTTTTCTTAATTTTAATACAAAATTAAGAAAATAGTAAAACGACCAAAATATCCCTATTTAACTAGACTTTACGTAAATAGTTAACGATAGAAGATCGTTGAAAATCGACAAACGTAAGAAATCAAATCCAAATTTCTAAAATTCAAAGACGATCTCCGTAAAAAATTACAAAACACCCAGAGACAAAAAATGAACTTTAAATTAAATTTATTGGTTAATTAATTAATTAATTAATTTTAAAATTGAGTTTAATTAGTTTATCTTGTCATTATAAAAATAGCAATCGGAAATGGTACCCAAAAGTCAATAAATGTTCTTTTTGTACTGCAACTTCTCATGCGTTTTCGTTTTTGTCGTCTACATATTTTTGTCCTTTCGTTTTCTTTACCTTTTATATTTAAGCAACGATAACGACGGTCGTTATGCTAACCGAGCTCAAAAAGCGTAGGTCTAACCCGAGCTTGGCTACGAAAAGCTCTGACCTAGTGAACCCCCCAAGTTCGGTCCTCTTAAACCCTGATCAGACCAAAATTTTGAGGGCAGGCCTAGGCCTAGATCCAACCAGAAAAAACCTGACCTAAAAAACACTGAAAATTTTTGGCCTGAAAAAGTGTAATCAAACCATTTTTCGACCTAAAGCCCGACGTGAGCTTGTTTTTTTTGCTCACTAAAAAGGGAACTTGGAAGACTTGGTCTTGTTCATCTCTATGCTAGATCCCATTGCCTCGTAGTAATCAGTAATTTTTACCAAACTGCAGTATGCGGTGCGGTTTGCGGTTTTGAGTTATCAAATCGTGGTTCAAACTGCACCGTATATTTTATATATATATATATATTTATCTATAACATATGTAGAATAATTGCTAAATTTATGTAATATTTTTAGACTATTTTCTCTATGGTTTTATTAACAAATCCAAAGCTTTTTGGATTTTGATTAACAATATTAATAAATTATAGCCCAATAATCCATTAGGTTCTTCTAAGTTTTAATCAACATTCACGACACGATTTCACTATTTTTTTTTTTCAATTTTGTGTTGATCTGCGACTTCTGTCTTCTACCTTAAGTTACTTTCACGTCTCAACGATTCAGTTTGAATTTAACTTTTTTACTTCTTAGACTATTTCTAATTTATGTAATCTGTATTTGGAAATCGGACATGCTGAAACTTCATATTTTTTTTGGACTACAGTAACGTTATAGTTGATTTACAACATTGGACTGTAGAGATAAAATGCGTTACGTACAAACCACACTGCATTTTACGGTACGGTTTTTTTGCTGTTTGATGTGTATTCAGTGCAGTTTAATTTGAAAACTACACCATGAACACCCCTAATAAAGATAACGACATTAAATTTTTTATTATTTTAATTCGATGGTTTTTCGAAAGGTAAAAAAATATATAAATAAACGGATCGTCGAATTTATTAGACGGTCCATGACTTCATTAAGCATGCCCTATATGTGGTGTGGGCCATATAGAGGAAAGTTTAAACGAGAACGTTAACTATTTAAGAAAACAAGAAAAGAGTTGTTAATGTATAAAATCACATGTGGTTTCATCGGAACCTAACCCTTAAACCATAATACCTTCATTTTAATAAAGTACGAGAACGCACTTGTCACGTGTATTAGTACACGTGAGGGAACGTGTGATGTGCGGATGACTTGGCCTACGACCTAGCAATGTCACTCGAAAGGTCACATGTGTCTCAAATTTAACATCCACTACAACAAAATTGGGTTTATAGGACGCTCCCAATTTTTAAGCGTCATAATAGACCTCTTTATAGGACTTGGTTTATAAGACCAAAAAAATAAAGTATTCTATGTAAATGTTGTAATAAGTTTATATAACGTTTTTTGACGTCATAATAAGTTTTTAGAACACTATTTGAAAATTTGTCCTATAAAAATAAGTGTTCTATAAAAAATTGAGTTTATAGGACACTTTCTAAAAAATGTCCTATAAAATTTGTTGATGCGGCGCTTTTTATTAAAAATGTTCTAAAAAACTTGTTAAGACATCCAAAAACACTATATAAACTTATTACGTCTTTACGTTCTATATTTTGGTCCTATAAATTAAGTTTTATAAAGCGGTTTATTGAGACGTTTAGAGATTGAGAATGTTCTATAAACTTAATTTTGTTGTAGTGATCACATATATATTAGATGCGACTGACTATAATATCACATGTGATTAACTATAGTAAAAATATAATCTTGAATTTTAACCATTTTATATAAATATTTAAATATTTTCATAAACTTTATTTTTTTTTAATTGTGAAAACGAAATTTCAATACCTTAGTATTTAAAAATAAGTTTTTAAAACCATAATGTAAAGGATTGGTGACCACAAGTTTTTTGGAATTAACCAAAGGGTCTTTGACCTAACGGTATTATAATCATTGGCCTTTTAAGAGGTCAGATTCTAACCTCACCAAAGGTGAAGAGGGTATATAAGTTTATTTATTGCATTTGCCGTATATAAATATTATATATTTTAAAAAAAGTTTTTGCAAGTAAGCACCAACATAAAATTATTCCTATTTTAATACACTGTCATTTGTATAGCAGGGGTATTTTTGTCATATAACTTATTTTACGTGTACATATTTCGATATATTATAGGGTGTGTTAAATACACATCTATTTATAAATATCATCTTCACAAATGTCAACGTCAACGTCAAGACATTTGTCTTACATTTTAATTACATGAATTGACTTAAATTTTAATGTAAATACGTACGCACATGACAACTTCCATTTTAAAGCAAGTCCGACTTCAAAAACTTGTTCACATACCTTTTTATTCTGGTACACTGTTCAATTGACCATGTTAGCCCACAAGGGTCACACCGATGCCCCCCAACCGACCCACTGTTCCTCTGTATATACTTGATGTCGTTATTGGAACCCTTTTAACTTACATCAAAATATAAAAAATACAAAAAAAAAGAGCATTTTTGCTGTTGACGTATGTGAAAGAAAATTCATATAGAAAAAGGTTCATTTCAGTAACTCTTCCATAAATATCTTTGACATAAAATACTGAAAGAAATTTTCAGTATCATCAATATCAGGAATTGGATCAAGTGTTGTAATTGTATCATTTGATGAGGATGATGGACTTGGCATGTATAATTCAGCATCGAGTCTGGTGAAATCAACATGATCAGCAAATGACGGGTTGTCCTCGTGTCGGGAGGTTGATCCGACTGAGCCACATACATTACACTGCAAAAACTTGCCCAAAATAATATCAGCGACCCAAATGCTGAAGTCGCTGCAATCATTATGGTCGATACAAGAAACATACAACATACCTTTTTATTAATGATGGAGGTTTTTGCATGACGAACAGTGTCATCCCACTTTTTTCCGCTGCTACCATATATCTATGATATATCAAAATCATAACTTTCTATTAAATATTAATGGATTCCTTCTTTTTAAGATAACTAGAAGGGTACTTGCACAATGCAGTGAGATGTATCTCGATTTTAATGTTTCCTTTTTTTTTGTCTCAGTCGATGTTATAATACGATTTTATGTGTTTTTTTTTTTTGAGAAAGTGTCTTGTTTTTATTTATGAATAAAATATAAATATAAAGATATCATAAAAATTTGAAAAAAATATTGATATTAGTATCAAACTAACCATTTAAAATATCTCTATTTTTTTGTGTATTTCTTTAATTCATTTTTTTTATTTTTGGTTTGATAATATAATTTTTTTTATAAAAATCAATGACTATTATAATTATATTTTAGATTTTTTATATTTAAAATAATATGTTTATCCTTTGTTTAATTATGTTTATCTGCAATTAGTTACATGAATTCAAACATGGAGCTTTAATAAGTTGTATTTACTGACAATTTACTTGTAATCTTGAATTTAAAGTAACATGCATCAATAAACAATACTTAATGCATAAAAAATGGTTTTTAAGAGTTTTTGTCAAATGTTTTATAACGTAATATAAATAAAACCGTAACAGAATCATCACCTCTTGGAGAGCTAAAGGGTTTGAAGAAAGATTCTCAAGAAAATCTTTAACTGTCATGATATTTTTACTCTCCAGACGAAGCACACCTTTTCTCCCGACGTTCTTCAATCGCGACACGTTATCATTTAATGAGACCGGTCGACGTTTACTGCTTACTACATACAAAAGAATATAACATATATCAATTCAAATTCATTTTTGAGCCACTCTTTTAATTGAATTCCCATTTTGGTCAGAGTTTATGCAAATGTCTTACGCTGTAAACTTGATTTTCATATTAGAAAAAAAATCTTTACGTAAATTTGGGTTATTATCGACATTTATGTAAATGTGTATGGCGTCTGCATATAGTCTAGCTAAAATGAGAATCGGTTACTAAAATGGCTAAAAGGTGAACCTGGTTGGGTACTAAAATCGCTAAAGTTGTCGTGATCACTTACTGGATAAGACTCTCGGTCCTTCCCTTCGCTTTTACCGGGTATGATTCTTGGTCTTTGCCATATTCATCCAATAAGGTAATGTGATTTGGTAACCAAGTAAGCATTTGATAAACGACCCCTAAGTGGATCCGGTCTGATCCAATCATCTATTAGATATTGGATTTTGTCATCTGATCTGATCCAATCCAAATAGATGATTGAATCAAACCGGTTACATCCACTGGATATTATTATTGGATATCCATTGGATCTATACAGTATTTTAATACAATTTTCAACCAAATTAATCCATCATTTAAACCAATTAGATGGGTAATTGGCTTAAATCAGTTCATTTTTATTGGATTTTGAACTGTCATCCAATAATTGAATTATCCAAATTGGATATTAAAATCTTGGATTAAATTAATCCATCATTATCAGCTTTCCGTTATAATTGAATCAATCGGTTTATATTAAATTGGATAGATTACTTACAATCATTGCGGCGATCCTGGACTTCGAAGTGCTCAGTAATGGCTTCTTTGATCTCATAAGCACAACCGACAACCATGGCTCCTAATCGGAATCTGCACTTGCTAAGATGCTTTTTATCGTGTTTAATCCGAATTTCACCAACAGATCCACTCCCGTTTTTCAGATCGACAAAAGGGTCACCACGAAGAATCTTTTTCTTGTTTTCCCAGTTGGTGATCACACTGTTTTTGAATTCTGAAGTTGTCCATACGCCGCCGCCGTCTACGGTGGTGCTGCCACCGAACTCTTCCGGAAGAAGTACGATCCTCACCCTTATTGACGCCGGAAACCTAGAGATGAATGGTTGATTTGTTTGACTTTCTACCAAGACGACTTTGATGGACTCGTATTCATCACCACCACCACCTGCTTCTCCTCGGATCTTTTTTCCGGTGAACACCGGAGATGCAACTCCGGTTGAAAACATCAGCTTTAAGCTTCCTGGTTCCAAATCCATGGATGCCTCGTTGACCTAATCCAATAACAAAAACCCCAGATCTATTACATAATCCGATTGTGGTTATAACTAATGGGCTGGAGTTTATGATTCTGATCAGTCAAAATCAATAATATATAACTCATCGGAAGTACTCCGGCGAGTTGGGTCTCACCGGAGTAACAAACAGGCACCGGCGAAGAGTTCTTTTTGCCATATTCTTACACATTTTCAGGTTTCGGGATGCGGACGATAGGACCTTAGTGTTCCTGTAAGCCCATGATCCGGCCAACAAGGGGTGTCAGCGCCTAAAAACGCATAACTTTTGCTTCGGATTTCCGTTACACGATACGTCGATTCGAAGCTTAAAAGGAGGGCTTACGGGAGTTTTGAGGCCTAAAAATGTCGTTTAAACATGTTTTCGGGACCCTTTCGTGTTAAAGTGTTAGAAAGCTAAAATCTTGATGGTAACTAATTGAATGCGAAATATTTCCATTTCCATTTAGATTCCGAATTCACTGTGAATTTGACGCTCGGTGTTTGTCGAATCAATGAGCTTTCGAAGAGATTATAATTTCCGTTATTGACAGAATCGACGGGATTAATCTTCAGTTCCGTTATCGTACTCTACATCATTAATGGTGGAAATAAGATCAAAGAAGAACATAAACTCACAGAAGATTGAAGATTCTGAGCCATTCGATCTCCTATGAAATCTTGCTTTCCCACCTGCAAAAAACCCGAATAAAGATCAGCAAAACAACACAAGGATCGAGATCAAAGGATTCTGGTTGTAAGAAACTTGCAGGTTGATTATTAGGGTTTCAAGATCATGAAGAAGAAGAAGATGCCAGTTAAAATTATGGGGCTTTTGATGGTTAAATAGGAAGGAATTGGTGAATGGCCTGAAAGGGTAATTTCGTCGAGAAATCTTGAAGAACCCCACTTCAAACGCCATGGCATCTCCTGTGAAACTTGTTGGCAACGAGCAAGAAGCCGGTTCGTGAGCCATGAACTGAGTTAAAAGTGGGTTTCTTTATACATCATTTTTATAAATAAAATAAATCATTTTTGATATTTAATTATTAATTTTATTAAAATTTTGGGGCCGTTTACTACGGTAAAATTTAACACTATTATTTAATTATCGGGTAAGATTTTAGTCCACCAAAACAACATTGTATGCAACAATTTATCCGGTAAGCGCTTACCGTGGTAAGAGTCGTTGCGTTCACTTACTGGGTAAGACTCTTGGTTCTTGTCTCGCTCCTACCAGGTAAGATTCTTGGTCTTTTACCATATTTATCCGATGAAATAATGTGACATTGTAAGCGCTTAGCCAGGTATATAATTTAAAAATTACTCAATATATATAATTAATTAATTGTTTGTACGTACCTTTTTACTTACGTCTTTATTTTTAGCCATTCTTTTTTTAATTTCTCGCAGATTCCCTTTGAATAACTGAATTCCCCTCGTGTTCTTTTTATTAATCTGAATATCCAACCCATTATGCAAGTCGACTAATCTCAAGACGACCATCTACTTCGTTGATGGCTCAAAATCACCGCATTTGAATCTTTATGACCACAAGAGGATTTTTAATATTCCTTGGATTCAAACTTGGGATCTCGAGATACTTTTGACCTTTGGAACCGAAGCTCAGACTAATCGGGTGTTTGTTTTTTAGTATTACTTCTTAGTTAATAAAACAAAAAACTCATCAAAAACTAATATTTCTTTGCTTCGTCTTGTCATAAAAGGATTGATTTTATGTGGTCTTCTTTGGAACGAGAAAACCCAAGTGAAATTCGTTGGTAATTTGGTAACGGTACGGAGATCGTTTAATTTGATATCATGTTCGACGAAAGAACAAGGATAAGATACACAAATTAATTATGGAAATATCGGAGGTGAAATATTTAAGTATATATAACAAGACGATGTAACATCTGATAATGACTAGTTTGTTAATTAAGAGCTTGGACAGATCTATAAAGGCTCAAGCAGACCCTCACCGTGCACATGCTCAACTTATTTGATGGAAGTAGATTTTTTTTTTTCGTATGAAATATGATTCCACAAGACTCTGAAGGGTCCTTCGGGATATTAGAGTATACAAGGAATATCAACTAAGAAACCGAAAAAAGTCCCTTGAATCAGTGGAATTCGATTAAAAACACATTAAGCGACTTTGCAGGCCTTTGATCTATCTTCAAGATGCATCATGTTGTCAAAAATCTTGAATCTACCGCTGTTTAAGAGGATATATATATATATATATATATATATATATATGTCGATCTACGTTATGAAAGAGAGTAATCTTGCGGAGTTTGAATGACACTGTATCGAGTAATAACGTGGCTAGTTAGTTTCAATAGATCGATTACGATACCGGCTAGTGAAGTTACTAGTAAACAATAAGGACATAAAATCACAGATGTGTATTGAAAGTTCTGATAATAATTTGGCATTAAATTCCTTGGAAATTAAAGAAATCTTGAATTCAACCTTTTCCCACCTGAGAAAAGAAACTCATTAAAGATCAAAAGAAATAACGAAAAGGTCTTTTGACCTCGATCTTTTAAAAGCTCGTGGGTTGAATATTGATTAGGGTTTCATTATAATGATGATGATCTTTCTGATATATATATATATATATATATGTATATATATGTATATATATATATATGTATATATATATACACATATATATATATATATATATAGGGTTGGGTTTATCTGAACCAAAGGTTTTTTGTGAGACTCGTAAGACCAATTTATGTTCATTGATCAACTTTATAAGCTAATGATCTAATGGTATAAAGTTGTATGATGACAATTTTGTGATTATTGAGAACTCTCGTGGCGTTTATGAATGTTCAGATTGTCAGATTATAGACCTAACCGAAACGTTGACAATTGGTCTTACGGGTCTCACGAAAAAACCTTTGGTCTCACATGATCTCAATTCTATACACACACACACACACACATATATATATATATATATGGGTTCATATGAGACCAGCCTATTTTTGTAAGAATCGTGAGATCACTTTTTTACACTTGAAACTTCACAGCAAAATGCTATGAAAGCAAAAAAAAAAAAATTGAACTTTCACAATATTTTACTGTGAAGTTTCAAGTGTAAAAAAGTGGTCTCACGGGTATCACGAAAACAGCCCCCTAATAGGGGTTATTCGATCTAATCATACCACTGGAGCCCCCCACATGGGGCACTATGCCAAAAGCGAGAGAAACCTCACCCCTCTTTTTCCTTTTTTTTCGCCAACTTAAATAATGAATATATAAATAGAATTTTGGCTTTAGAGACATTTACAATTTTCATTGCCCAATAACTCGGATTCTTTTTCATCTTCACATCATTTTGCTGTGAAATTTAAGTGTAAAAAATGGTCTTACGAAAACAGACTGATCTCACATGTAACCAACCCTATTAACTTATATTAAATAACAAAGATTTTTCTTTGGTCACAAAATAACAAAAATCTAGGTTTCTCCACCACTCCAATATGTGTGTTTAGCGGCTAGTTACCAATTTTTTACTGGATAAGTGTTTATCATGTCATTTATCTTATCGGGTGAAAATGATAAGAATCAAGCGTCTTATCGAGTAAAAAACATACAAAGACCAAAAATCTACTCGGTAAAGGAGGAAGAGGACTCTTATCAAGTAAGTGTTTATCAGATAAAAGACGATTACCAACAATCTATTTTAATAGCTTAAAATGCTATTGGATAAGGTAAATAAGGGTTGATATTAATTATGTCAACCATGATTTTACAATAAGATTCATATATAATTTTAGTTGCAAATATTCCTTCCTTACATGCATTTAAATGATCCAATTTAATATTATTGTAAACGAGTGGTTCTCTTTAAGTCTTTTAAGTCGTTGTATTTATCCAACAACAAACAAAATATTTAACTTTCAATATATATATATATATATATGTTGATTCAAATACTAACCAAAGCTATTGTGCAAACTATGCTAATCAAAATCAACCAATCATGTTCCATCTTTTAGTTAGGTTCAAATGTAACTGACATATTAATTGTAAGGGTATTTAGGTAATTTATTATTCTTATGTAGCTCCCAAATATTTTAATTGGGAGTTACAAATCTTAAAATATCACTAATTGATCTTCATGTAATAATGACATGAAGTTTCACATGTGTTCATCTTACTGAATTTTACATTTATTCTTTCTATAATGGTTTTGATATTGTAAATTTGAAAAAAAGTCTATTTTGTAAAGATTCCGTTATAGTCCGAGTAATATGGATAATCATAGAGTAAAACGGATCGACGACAATGAGAATGAAAAAACTAAAAGCGTCTACGAATACATTCGGAATTCGAATTCCGAAAGTGAAGAAAATGATCAATAAGTGTCCCAATATGAACATACGATAGCTATGAACACGCTAATGTGAACACGCCTATATTAAAGATTTGAGTTCGGAATGACAAACAATATACATTCTTCACTAAGTTTTGAATTTCAGTAAATCCACATCCTTGTTGCTCTTTTTAATTATTTACTTTGTGTAATAATAATTTTAGTTTTGAAGACTAACTACACAGGGGCTGTTCATTATGTTCATTAAAAATTTGACTTCGGGATGACAAACAGTATACATTCTTCATTATGTTTTCAATTTCAGTAAATTCACATCCTTGTTGCTCTTTTTAATTATCTACTTTGTGTAATAATAGTTTTAGTTTTGTTACTGTTTTATGTCATATARCACAAATCATATCATGCTTATATAGGRGATGTTCATTATGTTCACTGTGCTATATTACTTGATCACACACATAGCGATTACATTTTTCATACTAGGATGCATTAAGACATTTGTGCACAGACACACATATATTAACATATATCAAATCAGCACAAATAACACAAAMGTAGACGTTGGGATTCGTTACTGTTTTATGTCATATTGTTGATGTTCATTAGATTCACAAATCCAAACTTGTATGCATTTTGCCAAAAAATCATCCATCGTTTTGATGAATATTATGAACCAGATTTTTCGCTAATGATATACATTATTGATCGTATAGATTGGCAGTTTCGTAGTTGATTTGAGGTTACGAAATCGTCTGAATAATATAGGTTCACGATGTGATGCGATTTTTTTACAAAATTACCCTTTGAACATTTGTTCATAGACATCTCATTTAATACATTAATTAAATGATTATTTTTGTAGTCTCATTTAATAAGGACCGTTTGATGAGAAAATGAACGATCAAGATCGGTTAGCATAGTGTGCACAATAGTTAGCATAGTAAATGAACGATCAAAAATATAGATATATATATATATATATATATATATATATGGTTTACTTTGTAAACCACGTTATTTGTATAAACCGTACAAATCTTATTCAATCAATCATAATTTTTCATTTTCTTCATTTTTTTGTAATTACGAGAGGTTGATTAATCATTTTTATTGTGGAGGGTGTTAATAATGGATATTATCATATTCATTATTTTAATTTTAGAGAAATACATGAAACAGTTTCATTAAAATTTCATTAAGTATTATACGAAACAATTTCATAACCACATATGAAACAACTTCATCAGAAAAAGTATTATATGAAAAAATTTCACAAGATTAAACAATTTCATGAAAAAATTTCATAAGATTAAACAATGAAACCGACGGATGAGGGTGGTTTGCACGGTTTGTAGATAACTTGAAAACGAAGGAAAGTTTACTTAAATTCTTATACAATAAGTGTTTATCGGTAATATTAACACTGTTATTTGTAATAATTTTTCCAATAAACGAATTGAGTAACAGTTGTCACCTCCACTTCCCGGATAAAACTATTGGTCTTGGTCTTGGTCTCGCTCTTATCATATAAGATTCTCAACTCTTGTCAATTGTCATGTTATCCAATAAGGTAAATGACCTAATAATGCATATCATTAAGAGTTCAACAAAGCAAACGACCCTAAATAACCGAAAAAGACAAGCACTATAACCAAGGGAGGATTTAATTAGTAAGCTCTTAGGGCACCCAGGGGAGGAGGGTAATAGGGTCCTGTGGGGCCAGGACTCTGGACTCTGTGACATTTTATCTTCTAGATAGATAAAACTTAATCCATTATGTTAAATTTTTTAATTATAATAAGTATTTTTTTAACTATTATAATTTCTATAATTGTAGTTTTTTTTTGTATAAACCATTGACTGATCCACTATTAAGGGTGAAAAGTTTATGAAATGTACAAAAAAGATAAAAGCTGATGTGATAGAGAGAATCAACTGACGTAGGAAAATCATAAACTTATAAAAAGGTTCAGATGTTTTTAAAAGACACCTATGTCTTCATAAAAAAAAGTTCGGCTTTTTTTTTTATAGGGAAAAGTACAATAAAAACCAATGAACTTTCTTGTTTGGAATGATTAAGTCCTTGAACTTTTTTTGGGAACAAATAAGTCCTTGAACTTTCGAAAACATGTTAAATAAGTCATTGGACAATTTTTTGGCACAAATAAGTCCTTGGACATTCTAAAATATGTTAAATAAGTCCTTAGACATTTCAAAAAATGTTAAATAAGTCATTGGACATTCTAAAATATGTTAAATAAGTCCTTAGACATTCCAAAAAATGTTAAATAAGTCCTTGGACAATTTTTGGAACAAATAAGTCCTTGAACAATCCAAAACATGTTAAATAACTTTTTTGAACTTTTATARAACATGTTGGATACATTCTTATGACTTGTACAACTAGTTAAAATGGTAATTATTTTTTTGTAAATGTAAGTACTTTTTTGTTATATTTGTTTAATTTTATAGATCTAAATACTTTTTGGTTGAAAAAATATTTAAGGGCTTAATCGTTCAAAATATGAATGTTCATTGGGTTTTTTTCCGGATTTTTTTCACTATTTTACCACTTTATTTTTTTCAAAAAGCTATTTAACATGTTTTGGATTGTTCAAGGACTTATTTGTTCCAAAAATTGTCCAATGACTTATTTAACATTTTTTGGAATGTCCAATGACTTATTTGTTCCAAAAATTATCCAATGACTTATTTAACATATTTTGGAATGTTCAAGGACTTATTTAACATGTTTTGGAAAGTCCAAGGACTTATTTGTTCCAAAAAAAAGTTCAAGGACTTAATCATTTCAAACAAGAAAGTTCATTGGTTTTTATTGTACTTTTCCCTTTTTTATATTATATTTAAAAGTGCCACCATTTTTTTCGCTTTTTGCTACAATATCACCACTTAAACCACAAAAGATGGTGTTCAATCGGTTTGAGCTTGGGCTTCAAAAGTCAAAAGTGTCTAGAGGTCTCAGGTTCGAATCCAATGAGAAATAAAAATCCCTTTCTGGTCAAGGTGTTTCAAATACGATGACTTTGGGCTATCCGCAAAGCGGGTGGTTGTCCTGAGATTAATCGGCTCGCATAACTGGTTGGATATTCAGGTTAATAAAAAAAATACCACCACTTAGAAAATAATTTTAGATAATAATTATATAACATAATCATAAAATCATTTCAAAATTTATTGAAAACTTGTGCTAAGTGTGTTTGATGGGAAAAAAACAAAAGGTCAAACTACTAGAAAAAATTCTAAACCAGACAAAGATATTGGGCCGTTTACAAAGGTCATACTTTGGGCCCAACATTTCAAATAAATGATGCAACTATGCAAGTAGTTAGACATGGCAAAAAACCGGTCCCAAACTGGGTCGGGTTCAAATCGGCTCAGGACTGAAACAATAACAGTTTGGACTTTGGACCGGTCCTGGTTCCGTCGAAAATACTAATACCGGTTCCGGTCCCGAGCCGGGTTCACACCGGTCATATATTAAAAAATATATTTTATTTAAATTCCTTTTTGATTAACTTTTAAAAATACTTTAATGTTATTTTAATACACTTTAAAATATCTAATTAGGTCAATCAAAAACATTTAAAAAATACGTGTTATTTTAGCTTTATAATTGATTTTCAATCAAATACACTTAAAAATTACGTCTTATTATAGTTTTATAATTAGTTTTCAATCAAATACACTTAAGAAATATGTTTTGTTGTAAATTTGTAATTTGATTTTCAATCAAATACACTTAGAAAGTTAGAAATACATATAAAAATACCTTTTTTTGAAAAAAAAAATCAGGCCAGTCCCAAACTGGGCCTATAACCGGTTTCGGGCCGGACCCATTTGGCCATCTCTACAAGTAGCTATAAATTTTTAATAATAGTACTTGAGAATGTAAGTTATTGGAGAAGGGTAAAAATAGATCTTCACCATTGGATTAATTCTAATCGAAGATCAACCCTAATTAGATGCATCAGATCCATTCTCATGAGGATTGATATGAGATTAAAAGTGATCAAAAGTTCATTTTCATCATACACTTCTCACTTCAATTTACCATCCAAACATAACAGAATTAAAAGGAATATCAGTTTTGACAGATCATCTGTAAAACATAACCAAATTGTTTTCTATACACCGTTAAAATTTTACACAAACAACTCCTGAATCACGACAAAATGTTGATCGCTATAAATTATAAAAAAAACCGTGAGAAAAATACAAGTTTTTTAAATTATTTTTCTCGGGATTTTTTTTATAATTTATAAAATTACAATTTAATCCCTATAAATTTAAAAAAAAATTGTGATATTAAATTATTTTGTGCCTGTTGGAAGGTTATTAAATGCATCACATCTGCGTCTAATTTCCCCTTGACTTCCTGTTTTGACTCGGTACACGCTTGTCTTTTCCATCGCACGTGCGAAATCCCTAAAGAACACAACCGAATCTCTAGCATACTCCTCCACAAACGGTCGGGTTCTCGGGTCGGATGCCATTGCTTGATCCGTACCCAACACTCCCAACCCGTTTAACAGGTTTTTAAATATCATATTATCGAAGTTTCCGGCGGATATCGGGTCGAGAAACGCCGATATCGCCGGGTCCGACGAGCTGTTGGCACACATCCCCTTTAATCTTTCGGCTAACCTCGGGTGGACTGACGGGTCGGGTTTTGGTCCGAATAGCCGGCTCTCGAATTCCTTACAGTGAGCGAAGCCGATGGTGTGGCCGCCACCCATCAGAACCACCATTTCACGGTGGGTGTAACGGTGGGATTCGAAAATACTAATGATTTTGTCCATCGTCATATTCGGCCGGCCGAGCTTACCTTCGACGTTTGAAGCTTTCGATTCCAACCCATCTTTCCGGCCTAACTTGACTTCATAATGTGGACCGCCGACCTGAATAATAAGGTCTCTGGTGGTGACGGCGAGGATGTCGGAGCACGAAACGACGCCGGGGCATTCAATTTCAAGAGCCGTTTTGACGCGAGTTACGACGTCGAATCCATCTCCGGCGAGCGACTCGTTAATGTCTTGATCTTTTTCAGCTTTGTTATATGCATTGGAGGAGATGAGGACGGAGGCGTCGCAGCCACCCACCATGCAATCATGGAAGAAGAGGCGGAGGGTGGCGGCGGCGGTGGTGGGGTTGGCAGATTGTTTAGGTACGACGATTTGTTGAACGATTTCATGGAATCTAGGGCAAGATTTAGCGTAGTGGTTGAGGGTGAGGCCAGGTGGTGGTGGAATGTAGGGGTTTCTGGCGGTTATGGCGGAAGATAGAGATGAAAGAAGAAGGATAAATGGAAGGAATGATGGATTAGCCATGGTGGATAAGAGAGATAGAAGGGGGAGAGATTAGAGGTTGAAGAAAGATAGAGTTAACTGATGATACGCCATTAATGGCGACGAGACATCGTCGGAAAATGGGTGGAGGTTGGATTTCAGATGGATTTTATTCCTCATTTTTCGTAGCGGAAATCATCCACACATATATTGACCGCAGCATTTTGAGTAGCTTTTCCGGCCACCGTGAAATCTATGGACCGTTTCGAAAAAAAGTGTGTTCCACCGCTGCATCGACCACAATTACCTCTTCCACCACTATTGACCATCGCCACAGCCACCATCCATCATCTTCACGTCCTCTAAAACCATCATCGTTTACCAATCACCACTGCATCTACCTCCACAACCATTTTTAAAACAACTTATGTTTTTTTTTTTGTAAAAGTACTTATTAACTTATGTGGTATCAATTTGGAGTAAATAAAACAGCCTTAAAATTGTAAACTGGTAATAAACAGTTTTTCATAAGTCAGGAAGGATTAACTTATCAAAAACAGCTTATTACATGTTTGGTACCGGTATAAGCAGATTTTTATTCTTATTCAAACACCAGAAAATAACTTATCATCAGTGTCAAACTGAAATAATTTAAAAAACAGCTTTTATAAGCAATCCCAAACACCCCCTTAAAAACCGAATAAAACATTGTTTTTTTTTCTTGTAAAAATATTTATAATTTAAATTATTTAAATGTTTACTTTATTTGTGGCATTTATAACTACCATATAATATCTAAAATCATCAAATAAGTTTTAGGGCAACTTGTCTAATTCTCACCTACCTAGTCCTAGTCGAAGCAAATGCCAGATTGACACTTGTCTCGTTCAATCTTGCACTCTTGTTTCGTCCGGTCCAATCATGTATGCGTACCAAACACTACCTAAAAGATGAGTGAATTACACTCGAGCTCCATGTGGTATGCTTAAATTTTGGATTTTGTCTCTAAAACAAACTATCTAAAGTGATGACCATCTTTTCAATTTCGTAACACTCAAGGTCAATGGAGTTAACACTGCCGGTTAGCAACCATTAGAAAGTCATAAATTAGTCTTTAGGCAATCTAGAGGGACTAAAAGTATAATTTACTCTACTTGCTCTAAGAACTTCCCTTTCTCGTGGGTTCAATGGTGTAGCAATGATAGGCGGGTTCACAGCCCCTAATCTAACAACAAATATACGGTATCGAATCAAGTAATACGTACAATAAGTACGAGTATGAATCAAGTAATACATACAACCAAAGGAACTAGAGACTGAGTATCACAATGACTATATTCTATTAACGGGACGATTAATTAAGACAAAGTATTAAGTAATAAAAAAGTTGATTAACTATTCGGAGATTTGTGTAATTTCAGAAAATCAAAATCTAGACATTTTTCCTCAACCAAAGATGTAAACTCCGTGTTGTGATGACTTCCCACGCACAACTAATGAAAACGATCTTCAATCTTGATGTGACTCCTGGCTTTTTGTCCGCTCCGAAATTGTCATCCACTCTTCCAAAAGTCATCCAAAATCAGTCCTTTAACGTCTGGTGTGAAGCATATCTCACACTAACTGGGAAAATCTTGTTTTGATGTGTTAAGGGAAATATGCAACCGTAATTGCGACATGAGTCGCATATAAGGCCGACCATGTCCTTTTTTGGGTATGGGTGGACTCTCTCTTCGATCAGCTCGACTCTGCTTGCTTTAATCAGCCATGGGCTGGTTACAATGTTCTTTCCAAAGCCCAGTGTATGGATTTTTTTTAGAATAGTCTTGGATCCATCCAGCAATAATTTATGGATTTCTCACTTTATCTCTTTTAATGTATATCTGACCACTACATGCAAAAAACCATTGATTGGAAACGCAATAATTAGCCATATTTTGTGTCCTGTCAATAATGTTTGCACTTCTTCAGGGTTTCTTCTGTTTTCGTTTTGTCTTTTGTTTCTTTTTGTTTCCTTTGTCGCTTGTGTTGTGCTTTTGTTCGTCTCTTGGTTTCTGCGTCTTGTAGAATATGTGCACTCTTTTCTTGGGTTTATTTTATGTATGCCTTTAAAAAAATATACTTTTGGAAGTCATTCGGTTTATACAGTGTAAAATATCTTATGATTGTTAGAGAAATGGTAATGCGAGAGACAAAAAATAACTAGAAAATAAATCACGAAATAGAAAGAACCAGTTGTTTATCAATCAGATGATTGGTGACGTAAGGAATCTTTGAGCTGTATGACACACAAAATTTCCTTACGACAAATTCACGATTTTTATAATGCTAGAAATCCATGAACGTTTATCTCTCATAATACTAACACATAACCTTTGGTAGCACAACTCGATTATTCAAAAGCAAAAAAAACACTATGGTAGAGGTTATGTGGAAATCACATTGCATCCTAGAATTCTTTGGTGCAATATACACTTTACTTTTTTCAAATCTTTTTCGACATTTTTATCCTCAAAATGGATTTTGTTCTGGATGATTTCATCCAACCAAACAATGGCTTAAAAGATTGCAACAATTCAACCACAAGGGTGGTGCCTGATTGGTTTGAGCTTGGCTCCAAAGGTCAAAAGTACAAGGAGGTCCCAAGTTCAAATCCAATGAGGAATAAAAATCCTCTTGTGGCCACGGAGGTTCAAATACGGTGACTCCGAACTATCTGCAAAGCAGATGGTCACGTTAGGATTAGTCGGCTCGCATAGCGAGATGGATATCCAGGTTAATAAAAAAAAATTGCAAGAATTCAATTGACACACATATAGACATATATGGTAGTTTGATGCTTTTGAGGTTGGCAAGTCCACATTCTCCAATAAATGTTAAAGTATTTTTTCAAACAAGGCAAGGGAGATAGAAGAAGGTTTGAATCTAGGTATTACCATAGAATAATGTTATATGTTATATCAGTTTGTTTTCATGAGATTTTTGAGACCACTTTGTTATACTTGAAACTTCATAGCAAAACATTGTGAAAGTAACCTTCACAGTGTTTTGCTGTGAAGTTTCAAGTGTAAAAACTGGTTTTACGGGTCTCACGAGAACATGCTGGTCTCACGTGAAACCAACCCTATACACTACAACAAAGATGGGTTTATAGGACACTCTCAATCTTTAAGCTCCTAATAGACCTCTTTATAAGACTTAGTTTATAAGACCAATAAAATAAAGCTTCATATCTAAAGGCGTTGTAATAAGTTTATATAATGTTTTTTGACGTTGTAATAAGTTTTTTAGAACACTTTTAATATACAGCGTCCCATTAGTAACTTTATAGGACACTATTTGAAAAACTGTCATATAAAAACAAATGTCCTATAAAAAATTGAGTTTATAGGACACTTTCTCAAAAGTGTTCAAAAGTGTCCTATAAAATTGCTAATGCGACATTTTATATTAAAAACGTCCTAAAAAACTTGTTAAGACGTCCAAAAGCGTCATATAAACTTATTACAACACCTTTAGATATGACGTTTTGTATTTTGGTCCTATAAATTAAGTCCTATAAAACGATCTATTGAGACGCTTAGAGATTGGGGGTGTCCTATAAACTCAATTTTGTTGTAGTGATATGATGACTTAATGAAGTATAATCATCAATATATTGTTTTAATATGTAATAACAAAGACGAGTTTGTTTTTGTGGGATCTCTTCTCGATACATGTTATTCTTGGTACGATCTGTCATCTTTTTTGTCTACTTCATGATAATGTAATGTCCCTAAAAATAAGTTAAACTTGTCTTTAACTAATTTAGGGGCGGGGGCGGGGGCGGTCGTAATGATTCGTTCCATTACATTAAACCCCCTAAGTTTACTCATTTTTTACCGATGATTGTTGAAAGTAAGTCTTTTACTCTAAAGGACTCTCATCAAGTAACTAAGTCAACTCAAAAAATGTGTAACAACAAACAATTTGATCAAGTAAATCGTATAGAAATCTAAAACAAAACACTTATTTCCCTTCGATAATTTTTACGAATCAATGAAGTAACTGAACTATACAGTTCGAGCACCAAGATTTATCTGGTTTAACATACCCTCGATCGAATAGATTGGCTTGAAATTCTTGACGAATACCTAATATTTAGTTTTAGAAAAAACCCATATCAATTTGAGTCCAAATAAGCGTACTAATTCTCTCGAGAAAATTTTGTTCGACGCTTTGTGGATATATAATTACATGAAGATTAAGTTGAGTTGTTTAGAGGCATAATAGATGAAGAACAAACCTTAACAATTCAATTAAAAGAAGTTCTAAAAAATGAAGAGGAAACCCTAATTCAACAAAAATAGAAATATGAAAAATGTGTTGAGAATTGAACAAGTGAGACAAGCTACCAATTAAGTTCAATTCCTCAACCATTAAAATGGAATGGTCTTTGGCCTAGTGGTATTGTAGTCTTTGGCCTCCTAAAAGATTAGGGGTTCAAATCTAACTAAATGTGAGGAGGATGTGTGAGTTTATTTGTTGCATTTTTCGTATGTAAATATTATATACTTCAAAAACAAATGAAAAGTGTTTTAGCTGCCAGAAAATCACCATCATGTCATCATCCAAAATTGAATAATAAAATTTAATTATAGCATTAATTAAACACATTGGAGCAATCTTAGATCACAAAATCAGCATTAAATCCTAATACCAACAAATGTTAGCAGAGAATGATTGAAACTAAATGACAACCCCCCATGTTTCAATTTGGTTTCTATTTTTAGAAAGATCGATCAAGAAAACACACCGAATTAAGGGTTCTTAATCGTTGTTGATCTATCAACGTATACGTATTCATAGTAACGCCATCGAAGTACATGAGATCTAGAGATTAATTAACCAAAACTTTGAGGTTGTTTTTGCACAAACTGTTTTTGATTTAATTTCTTGACCTAAAAACTTCAATTCAAACCCTAGAAATCAGGGTTTCAGATGAGGAAGAAAGAAACAAAACACCCATGTGAAGAAATATGGGCAAACATGAAACTAGACAT